TTTTTTTTCAACGTTTATTTATTTTTGGGACAGAGAGAGACAGAGCATGAACGGGGGAGGGTCAGAGAGAGAGGGAGACACAGAATCGGAAACAGGCTCCAGGCTCTGAGCCATCAAGCCCAGAGCCTGACGCGGGGCTCGAACTCACGGACCGCGAGATCGTGACCTGGCTGAAGTCGGACGCTTAACCGACTGCGCCACCCAGGCGCCCCTTGTTAGGCCAGGTTAAATCTGAGGTCCCTATGGCACCGCTACTCTCACTCCAGAATCCTATACATAGTTTTGCATAGTGATAACAGCATGTGAAAATCAACATGTCCTCTCTGTAGAGTACCACATGTTATATACCAAGGAAGAAGAGTTCCAGAGAAAGACAACCAAAATAGCCAGGGAAATCGAAAAGGCTTCTGTATCTGGAGCATCTGGAAAGATTTGGAAGGTTGGGCCAGAAGGACAAATCTGCACGTGGGAGAAGACAGAATCAAACGGTCTAAAATAATGAGGAGGAATGATAAGGACTTGGGTATTCTCCCCCAACAGGTGCCATCAAGAGTAAAGGGAGGGGTTCCTGGCTGGCTCAGTCAGTGGAGCACACGACCCTTGATCTCAGAGACGTGAATTTGGGCCCCACCTGGGGTGTAGAGATTACTTCAAAATAAAATCTTAAAAAAAAAAAAAAAAAGTGAATGGAAAGTTGCCAGGGCCCACCCAGGTTTATTGTCAGAGCTGGGATCAAACATGGGTATCAGAAGTGGTGAGACATCTGTCACTCAGTCTATTGGAGACAGAGAATTTATTAAAAGTGTTGAGCCATGTTATTCTCTTGTACTTCCCAAGTTATTTAGCACAGAGCTAGCAGGGAAAAGTAGAATTACACCCATGTACTCCATGCCCAGTTTGCTTTTCTGAACTCATCTCCACCAGGCAAAATCTTTTCAACCTACAAAGTCCTCTGGTCTCTATTTCCGTTTGCCCTGACATACCACCAACATTTTAATCCTTCTAAAACAACATTTTCATCCAATGACTTAGTCTAAGTCCTAGCTTATGGTTTGTTTTTACACTTAAAAAAACTTTTTTTTAATGTTTATTTTTGAGAAAGTGTGAATGAAGGGGAGAGAAGGGGACAGAGCATCATCCAAAGCGGGCTCTGTGCTGACAGTAGAGAGCCCGATGCGGGGCTTGAACTCACGAACTGTGAGATCATGACCTGAGCCAAAATCAAGAGTCGGACACTTAACTGACTGAGCCACCCAGGTGCCCCTTTAAGATTTTATTTTTTTTTTCAACGTTTTTTTTTTTT